AATTTTATTATGAATAGGTATTTGCATACTTTCTTTGTTTTTGATATTTATAATTATAATTATAATTTATTTATATGTATCAATGCCATTAAAGCCTGGGTTAGAAAACGATTTATTGAACTTAATGCTTATAAATCTAAATTCATGTTTTTTCATATAAATAATTCTAAAGTCCCTTTAAATTTTAAAAGATGACATCACCTTTTATTATAGCTACAGTTGCTTAAGTAAAATACATACGTCATACTTGTAATTGCAATAATATACTCGAGAATGTTTCTAAAATTAAATATTTTGGCATTATCTTCGATCATAATCTTAAACGGAAAGAGTCCATATTTTATTGTATTTGTAATTTGTAGTCCTATTATAAATACTAGCTCTAGGTAAGTGTAACTCGGGGCCCGTCGGACTCGCTGGGAGTTGGTACCGATTTTGGAGACAATGAATTATAAAAGTCGCAAAGGTTGTAAGACGAAAGTTTAGGATTTGTGATAAGGATTAGTGATATGGATTGGAGATGAGGCTAGACGCTTTGGCGGGAATGTTAAAAGTTTGAGCGTCTAGAAATCCGTCACAAACGTTGTAAATGGATAGGCCAGCCATACGATCTCCAAGATCACCTATATAGAGTATACCTGCACATAGAGTGGTATGTGCCGTAGCATGACCGGTGCTTTATCTTATGTAAAAAGTGTAAAGTCGAAAACCGTGTTGGAGTTTCTAGCAAGTCAGTCATCTCAAGTTAAAATCTATTAACTTTCAAGTTAGCCACTTAGGTAGGCAATCCGATTTCGTCGGACGGCGGACAATGTGCTACAGCAAATCAGGTAGGCAATCCACCTGCGGTGGATTGCAGACCCGACGTCAAGCGGCTATAAGTGAAAACCCTATCACACAACTTACGTAATAATTTACGAAAAATTCAAACTATATACAATATACATACAAACAAATATTTGACCGCCACTGTCAAGCATGTAGTTGCAGTAATGGATGTGTTATATTTAAATTACATTGATAAATTATTGTAAACAAAAAAATATTCTGAGCGGAGACGTTGTATCAGCCTAGCATACTTGTAAAAATAACAAATTTAGTAGTTAAAAAAAAATTAACAAAGATCGAAAACTTGACTTTCTGTTGAACTTTTTTAGTTTGATAGAGGTACAAAAACTTGTTGGAAACCTTCTATTAAAATGTCTTATGTTAGCTATGAAAAAAAAAACTTATGAATTTTGTCAAAATTTGAACTTTATAAGCATATAACAAATAATTGAGCCTATGTATTATTGAACTTTCATTAATGAAAATTATAAGGAACCTATCATTACATTTTCAAGATTTTATCGAGGATAATTTAAAAAAAATTTAGAAAAATGGAAAAATTTCTCAAGGGCTCAAGCCTATAACTAGCTCAAAAATAGTCAAAATATTGAGAAAATGTTTTATGGAAAATTCTAATATAAATATTTGTTGAAAATGTCAAGGTTCTACAGTTATGAATTTTTGAGATAAATAAAAAAAAAAAAAAATAGATTTTTTCAAAAATTGGTTTTGTATAAAAGTCACCTATTTTTTTGTTTTTATCAACGCTTTCTAAAACTACTTGAAATTTTTAATTTTGACTTCCCAAAAATACTAACTAGTTTCACTTTTCTATCAGTAAAGATGCTGATCTAAAAAATCGGAGTACTTTTACTAAACAAAAAGTGCCATACAAAACAGAAAAAACACACACATCATTGTAAAATCAATACATTTTTTCGCTTCGCTCAGAATAATCTAAGCTTTTTTTTTCTATAAATATCATAGCTATAGCCAACTTATAAGTTGGTGTTTTTTTGGGGAGGATAAAGCGCTTTGAAGATTTTATCAATTTCAACTTTGAAAATTGAATTTTTATCATATTAACTCATTTAAAATGCGATACATTTATTTGACGATTGATGTCAATTAATATAAGTAGGTATAGGTAGTAAAAATTACAGCAATTGAAGGTATAAAAATATTTAATAATAATTTTTTGTTCTCATTAACTTGACTTTTTTATGGTATCTACAAAAGCAGGGCCTGTCCAACTGGTGAAGGCGCGGGGCCAAGGGCTAGGGCCCCACTCGCCCTGCCCTAGGGACGGCCCTGGTTGCAATGTTTGGTAAACTTAAAAAAATGGGTGGTCCAGGGAAAATTGTTCAAATTGACGAGTTACTATTTCAAGGCAAGCGTAAATTTAGTAGAAGACGATTGAGGAATGGAGATATAATTCCAAATGTAGATGACCATGTATCAAGTCATGCTGACGATATTGATGATGATTATTCAACTCAAAAAAATTACGGTACTCACATTCGAATCTAGGAAAAAAAAGCCCCGGAAAAAAAAGCCCCGGAAAAAAAAGCCCCTAACAACATTCATCGGAAAAAAAAGCCCCGTCATAGGAAAAAAAAGCCCAATACCAACTAAATACATTATTCTTTTTTATTATGATTTATATAATTAATTATAATCATAATATCCATAATCATAAATATAATATTATAAAATAATATACTAGTAAATTATTTTATTATATTATTATGCATCTAATTTATTATACAAGGTAATACATTTATTTTCTTAAAAGGTAACTATAAAAAAAATGACATCTAGTATATGACACATTGACTCGACACGACACTAATAAAAATAATAATAATAATAATAATAACTAATTATATCACAATTAAAAATACACTATTCATTGTAGTTTGTTGTTTGTTTATAATTAAAAATTTTTTTAGGGTAGTTCATAGCAAAAATAAAATTATAAAATTGTATTTAAAAATACAAATATACAAAAAATCAAAGATAAATAATATTATACTCTTTAATTTAAAATTTAAAATAATGCATAATCATAATTTATAATGCATGTACTGAAATAAATGTATAAAAAACCTCACAATAAAATATATATAAATTTAAATAATACTTAAAATTGAACGCGTAATATAGATACCTAGGCATATTGTTTAAAAATTTAAAATTATAAAATGTCGACTATAATAAAAAAAGTGATATGTATTTCGTAGGTACGCCGTACGGGGCTTTTTTTTCCTATGGCGGGGCTTTTTTTACCGTATTTTTTTTCTGGGGCTTTTTTTTCCGGGGCTTTTTTTTCCGAATACCCTCACATTCAAGGTCCATGGATTTTTGGTATGTGTTGTAAAAATGTTGATGGGGTTCTAGAACGAAGATTTTTTTAAGTGGAAAAAAGATATAAGCATATTTATTACCAATAATACAAAATTAAATAGAACTAGGAATTAGGATCAATTATTTATTCAGATCAATGGCTAGCATAATATAGTACCTACCTTAAAAGATATAGGCTATCATCATGAAACCGTCTGCAATCATTCATTTATTCATTCCGAGTTTTTTGTTGATCCTACAACACTACATAACAGGCGCACAAACACAAGCGATCGAGTATATAATATGGAAACATGTCAAAACTAAATACGGAATTAAAACCTGCGGAGCAACAGATTTGTTAGACCGACAATTTAAAGAAGAATGGTGGCGGTCCATTCATACGCAACACTACTTATTAGAAGTTTTCTGGGATGATGTAAAAATAATGTATAATGTATGATAATATATAATGACGTATATAAATAAATAAAGTACTTGACAATGAAAATTAATAAATTATTTAAAAATAAATTGTAATTAATATTATTGTTAATTTGTTATTAATCAATAATCAGAAAACGTTTTTTTGGTAGGTATCATTTTACGGTAGGTAGCATACTACACCAATGAAGTAGCGGTAGGTAACATATTAGACGAGTACCAAAAAATCGAGTGAATATCTAATAATGTAAACATTTGACCATCACCTTTTAGGACAGTAAAAATGCTTAGATTTTCTTCAATAGTATCTTTTCTGACAGGAAAGTGAATCTAGTTGGTACTTTGGGGGGTCGAAAATTCCTAATAGTTTTCGAAAGAGCAGGGAAAAATAAAAAAAAAAAAATAATAAAAAACGGAAATCTACACAAAATCGATTTTGGTTTTTGGAATAACTCTAAAACAAATGCCTTTAAAGTTCAAATATTGAGAAATTACGTAAAAATGACGAAAATTACCAAATTATTTTGAGTTGGAAATTCATAAAAAATTTTTTTTTTAAATCATATATTTTAAAATGTAATACAAGATTCCTCATAAGTTTGTCTAAATTTATCAAAAATTATATCTAGAAGTCAAATTAAATTTGTATGAGCGTTTGAAATTTATATTTTTACAACATTTGATGTTCACTCCATTTCTCATGCAACGATTTACTTATTTTGTTGTAACTAAAAAACGAATGACTGAAAATATTTTGACTCTTTTTGAGCTGTTTACGGACATTTTCAGTTTTCATTTTTTTTTATAAATATCAATAAAATTGTTTTTGTTGCCTGTTAGGTAAAAGCGCTTGAAAATTTAATGCAAAGCTCCTGAAATATTGTTACAATAGCAGTTGAAAAATGTTAAAAATGCATATGCATTATTTTTTTTTATAAAAATTTATCACATTATCATATTATTTATAAAATGTTCAACTTTTATAGCTAAGGATTGAAAATTTAAAAAAAGATTCCACATAAATAGGCTATATATAAATAACTTTATTCACCTTAATATCTTCAAACAGGGGCGGATCTTGGATATTTTGATAGGGGGGGGGGGGGCACATATAAATTGTATAATGATTCTTTCATTACATAATAACACACACACAAATAATAATTTATACAAGTTATTATACATATATGTAGTCATTAATAAGTAAAAATATATTTATAGATTCTCATAGGTACTTTATTGCCTCATAGGTCGGATTGAAGTCTTCGTTTATGTTTTTTAGCAAACATATCTAGTACTTCTTCTGGTTTTACTTGAATATCTTTATTTATATGTAACATTGCTAAGCCGTTAAGTCTTTCCTGGCCCATTGTCGATCGTATTTAAGTTTTAATCCTTTTTAAAGAACTGAATGACCTTTCAGCACTTGCTGTTGTTATAGGTATGACACTGAGAATTGTTAAAAGACATTTAATGTTAGGAAACATAGATGCATATTTAAAAGCTTCCATTGAAGAATCAGCCTTTTCTGACTTATTTTTCCAAAATTGTTTCCATAAATTTAACTCACCGCGTAGTGCTTCAATACTATGAGGTAAATCTGCTTCATATGTCTGAGCCGTATTCAATATTTTATCGTCTGAAGTTTCACAGGCAAAATAATATTTAGGAATGATTAATTTCAAATTAGAAATAACTGAATCATTATTTTCATGAAAACGTGAATTTAGTTCTGAGTGTTCTGACATAAGATAATCCAAGTAAGGTAGAAAATAGTTAATGTGGTAGAATTCAGATAAATCAGTTGATTGGGGCTGAGCGTTTGCACGATGACATTGTGTTTTTGTTACTCTTGGAATACTTATATCAACATCCATTTTTACTGCAATTATTCTTGTTTCTTCAAAAATGTCATGCCTCTCGAACCAACGTGTTTCACATAGCTTTTTAGCTTTTACTGCTTTTTGGTGTGGAAAAAGTTCTGTAATTTTTTCACTCAAAAGTTGAGTTTTTAAAGCAGATACCCTTAAGAAGTTATAAATATTTGTTATTATTCCGACTGTGTTGCGAATTTAAGGTACCATGCTTGCTTTACTGAGCACTAAATTTAATCTGTGGTTGGCACAGTGAGTATATAAAATGCAAGAAACCTTTTATCAGTTTAACTGTAAATAATGATTACCTATACTAGTAGGTAGTATACTATTATTTACTGTATTTTTCATTTATATGATATTCGTAGTAACATAAAAAAATTGTCGATTAAAATTGACAGGGGGGCACGTGCCCCTGTGCCCCTCCCTTGAATTCGCCACTGTCATCAAATATACTTCGTAATATCATAGGCTGAATGACCATTTTCGCTCAGAATCGTTTTTCTTATACAATGATATTATTATATCATTGAATTCAAATTTAACACCATCCATTACAGTGACCCACTTGTAACCTGCTGTACAGCAGAGCGAAACCCACTTGCAATCCTTTTTTATAGTTATTTTATGTTCAAATTTGGAGGAAATTACATATTAAACTACCAAAATTAACGATTTTAGTTAATTTATTGTAATTTTATAATATTAATTCAACTTACCGGCTACCGTATATTAATAATAAGTTATAATAATATAAATATTAAAATATAAAATATCCTCACTGACAAACAGTCCCCGCTCAGAATCGATTTTCGTATAGGTACAATGATTTTATATCATTGAATTCAAATTTAATACCATCCATTATACAGTGACCCACTTGTAACCTACTGTACAGCAAAGCGACTTCCACTTACCAACTTTTTTTATTGTAATTTTTTTAGTAGACAGTTATTTTTTTTAGTGTCTTTGGATTTGTCTAATGATGATTTCCCATATTTTCATATTATTACATTGGTTTAAACAGTTATTGTTGATTCTTAAAATTATACTATTATATGACACATAGGTAATATATGCCTCCTACTGCTATAGTCGGTAGTAAATAAGAACTTCGTCACACCTGGGTGGCTGGGTCTCTTAGTTGGCTTTATTATGGTAGGTATTAATAATATACGTTCATAACTTACATAATAATTAAAATATCATAAAATACCTAGCCAACGTAATGACACAGGTAATGTTCTTAACTTAATTTATTTAGTTTTATATTGCAAGTGCCAAGTAACAACATAGAGTAGATTCTGTTATAATATTAATCTTAGGTATATTTAGTATCTATACCTAGTGGTTCCCACTTCTCAACCTTTTTTGTTCTCAGCCCATTTGTACATTTTCAAGAATCTCTCCCCCTCCCCTTTAATTAGAATTTAGTTACTTTTTTTCTATTTTTAGTGATACAAAATAACTAATATTAAGGGGAGTGAAGAGCACGTATTTTTCATACGTTTTAGACCAATAAGCGGGGGTAAATTACACATACTTCGGAATGTCCGATTTAAATTTTTTATACATGTTTGAATTCATTGATAAAATATCTAGGCTTCTTAGGAAGTAGAAATTTTCAATTTAAAATGACATTAAAATAACCATTTTTTTTTTTAGAAATTAAATGAAATAATTGCATTACATTTGTATTTATTTTGGGCACATCTGATTTTAAATAAAAAAAAGTGATTCCTAAGAAGCATAGCCTAGAAATTTATAAATTCAACCATTTTTTCGAAATTACAATCGAACTTCGGGAAATATGATTAATTTACTACCACTTTTAGTAGTTTTTATTGTCATGCAAACAAGAATATTATATTTCATTTTTCGCAATGTATTGACATGTGCGTGCGCGTGTGAAAGTTGCATCCGGCGCGGTTGCCCGACTCCTTGACATGACAGCGATTCTCGAAAACAATTAACAGATTACGCACACTAATGTTTATTTACATATAGATACAATATTAATTTATATGCAACATGAATTGCCTAAATAGTACTCCTTAAAATATGCTACGTTGCAGCCCCCTTAAAGTGTAATAGTATATTATATTATAATCAAAAATATTAATTATAGTGCAATAATACCTATATCGGCGGGCTTGTTCATTTCACCTTGATCTTTACATCACGATTTATTTCACCATACATTATAGTACCTAGAGTCTAGAATGCAATTATTATATTAGGGGTTTGTGGGGGCTAACTGGCTAAAACATTTTTAGCGAATTTTTTTATAATACCTAGTAATAGTAATTCATAGTAATAACTAATAATTAATAACCTTTAATAACAGTTTATTATAAATGTAAAACGCGCAATAGGTACTCGTATTGAAATATGAGTTGTATAGGTAGTGATGGGTAAATTCCCTGTATTTAAAAGTGAGGGAATATTCCCTAGGAATATTTCGGGAATTTTTAATAAATTCCCAAATAATGGGAATTTTTAATAAATTCAAAATAATGGGAATTTTTACTATAAATTTGAAAATTCTAGTAGCCAAGTCAAAATTAAATGATACCCAATCCAAACACTGCCTAAATATAATTGTGGCCTGGTGTGGCTTGCTAATGACCTCAGATTTTGTAGCATTAACTTAATTAAAAATAAAATATAATTGTCCTTATATTTTTATGAATAATATTATAATAGTACCTACTTTTCTCAATGAAAATTGAAAAATAATGTCTTTTACCTTTGTAGTACCTTCTACACAAAAGTTGATAGGTATTGAAGAAAATATCTGTTAAGACATTTAGTTTAATTTTTTAGGAAAAACATTAAAAAAAGTAACAAATTTCCAATAAATTAACTATAACTAGTAGCTATATTTAATAATAATAATACAAAATAAAATAAATATGAAATACTCCATATATTTAACAAAAAACTTAATAACTGAAAAATATATTAAACATTTTAAAAAACGTTGTTATGAATTATGTTATCTAGTGAACCTCTAACAGTGTGGACTAATAAAACGGAAAAAAAAATTCCCAAGTTTGGGAAGAAATATATGTTGTGGAAATATTCCCGATAAATTCCCAATTATATATTTCTTTCTTTTGGGAATATTCCCAAGGCACATCACTATGTATAGGTACTGACGTACTGTTATATTAATTGACTAATATCAGCAGTCGGTACCTATTTTATTTAAATGTAAAACAATAATAAGTAATAATTATGATATATTTATTATAATAACCACATAATATTTTACATAAACCTACCTTGCATTTTCTTAACATATTATAAAACCAAGTCCATTTTTCTCTCTGTATGCTTAGATCTTAAAACTACGCAACAGATTTTTATGCTGTTTTTTTAATTGATAGAGTGATTCAAAAGGAAGGTTTATATGTATATAATATGCATAATATAGTAGAGGAACACTGCCTCTTTTTTGTATGTGCGAGCATATCTCGAAAAGAACTCTACTTATTTTAATACTGTTTTCACTAATAATTCGGTCGAGTCACGGGGAAGGTTTTAATGTATAATAATTTTCCTTGGTGAAATTAATTGGGTGGCTGAAAATAATAACAATCTATCACAGTTTATATACATAAAATATACATGTTTGTATCTGTATGTCATTGAACTCCTCCTAAACCACTGGACTTTTTTTTGTGTGTTTTTGGGTGAGTCCCTGAATGGATTAGATTCACAATTCGACCCAGTTGGTTCAACAAGGGGAGGTGCTCAAACAGGTATTTTGGTATTTTGAAATGTTTGCTTATAAAAGGTTGCTATTGGTTATAGAAGAAATAATTAGTAAAAATTAGTATTTTAAATGTTTGCCATTTGTTACTCTGGCAGATGAGGTAAAAGCATCCATAAAATCGTCGCATGCTTATGGTTTCGAATAAAGAAATGATATGTTAAAACAAATATGAGAGTTGAATGTATATTTTTAGCTATTATATAGGTTCTCAAAAATTAATTGACTGATCTTGTGAAAATTTCGAATTGTTCTTGGAGATATCAGGAATGTTTTAAGAGTAGTTTGAACCACGTTCGATTTATATCAAGTGCTATACCCAATCCACCCCAAATAATAATTGTTCACCTTGGTCAACGTACTTCGCAAAGCTACCCAAATTTGTTTGTGAACTGAGGTAGGTACCTAGGTATAGGTACACAAACCCAAGATATACTTATATAATCTAAATTCTTTTTTTTTTAATTTTTTGGCGGGCGGAATCGGGTTATAAGTACAACTAAAATTGGATGTTGGTTTATCAGAAGTTAATAGAATCAAAAAATGACTGGACCGTTTTCAATAAAAGTTATTTCAATAGATTATTACTTGAAAATTGGAGGGTGTGTACAGCTTGATTTTTCAACTCATATATTTTGCATATGTGGTTGCAATTCGTTACTTATTATATTAATATTATAATTAGAAGAAATATGCTGTATACATTTTGTACAAATATATTTTTTAAAAAGGTGGGCAAGTGGGTGTCGCTCTGCTGTACAGTAGGTTACAAGTGGGTCACTGTATAATGGATGGTATTAAATTTGAATTCAATGATATAATATCATTGTATAAGAAAAACGATTCTCAGCGGTGACGGTATGTCAGTGTATGTACCTATAAGACATATTATATACTTATCTATGGTATTAAAAAAATTGACCTATAATGAATTCCAAATTAATCATATCACAATATCCATTAGGTACTTATAACGCGTTATACATCAACAAAAACCGTGATACTATCATAGATATATAATAGTACACTTTAGAAGTTTCAAGTACCCACGAATAATATTATTCAATCACAACAAAATAACTAAAATAGTTATTCT